GGTTAAAGGGTGGTGTACAGAGTTGCAAAATAATGTGATTTAGAGCCACCCAAAGCCATGCTAGTCCATTAGACAGTCTGTGAACATTACAAAATCTCCATCTTAAAGTAAATATGAGTTGGGAAATGATTATATTTGCAAATAACAGTGAAGCAAGCAATAGGAGTGAGAATAAAGGGAAGCTGTGATTTCATCAAGAGTACTCGAACGTGCTTTCCCTCTGTAAGTGATTTCTCTGAAACCCTCAAGGAATATTTTTCACTTGGATAACATGTTTGTGTTTCAGTTCTAGAGATGAACCACAGAGGGGCCCTTGGAGGACTGACAGTGAAGAGAGACCTCAGTGGGGACTGATGGTAATTCTTTGAGGGGAGATAGCAGTGGTTGGGAAGGAATATAGAAATGATTGTTAGGGGACGGAAAGTAATTTTTCCTGTTACAAAGCCTGCCACAAAGACTGTGGTTTAGGCTGTATGTTACAACAGAATGTAAGATCACTTTGATGGGATCCAGTAGTGACTATACAGCAGCCACAGCAAGAGGACAAGATCCTGGGCTTAGATTTCCTGAGTTAGAGGGGCCACCTCACCCTCAGCTTCCAAGAAAGGCCAAGGATATGACCACATGGGGGTGATAATCAGCTGGCTTTATACACCAACTAATGTGTTTATGCTAATATTTATGATTCTAATGATAAATGTGTTAGTATTATGAATAGCTGTATCATAAAGCTAATGCTGCTTGAATGGTGATTCTGTGCCATTCTTCTAAATTTACATGGTCTGAATGTTTGTGTCTTCCCCAAGTTCATATGTGAAAATCTAACCCCCAAAGCAATGGTATTAAAAGGCGGAACCTTTGGAAAAGGAGTTATGAAGCCTCTAGTCTCTTAAGTGAGATGAGTACCTGTCTTAATCTATTTTTGTGTTGTTACAACAGTATACCAGATGCTAGGTAATTTATAAAAAAAAAAAAGAAGTTTATTAGTTCATGATTCTCATGGCTGCAAAGTCCTAGGACATAATGGGAGTCATGTTGTGGCACGACACATGGTCCTCAACAGAAGTCAAGGGTCATGTGTTATGTCACAACATGGCAGAGAAGTGGAAAGAAGAGGGTGTGAGCAAAGAGAGGCAATGCGCCAGAGAGAAGTGAGATGCCAGGCTCTTTTATAACAACTTGTCTTTGGGATCCCATGAGACTTAACTCATGCCAGATCTAATTCACTTCCTTGAGAATGGCACAATCCACCCATGAGGGCAGAGACCCCTTGACTCCAAAACCTCTTATTAGGCGCTACCTTTTAAAGGTTCCACCTGTCAACATTGCCACACCAAGATCAAGCCTTAATGAGTATTTAGGTAGGTATAAACCTACATCCAAACCATGGCAGTGCCCTTATATTAAAGGTCCAAGGGAACTTGTTTACATTCTGTGCCAGTTAGGTGAGTATGCAGCGAGAAGGCGGCCTTCCAAGCATGAAATCTGTTGGCATTTTGCTCCTGGACTTTCCAACTTCTAAAACTGTTAGAAATAAATTATGTTTATAAGTTGCCTAGGTAAGGTATTTCATTACAGCAGGCTGAGTGGACTAAGACAACATGCTATTTAATTCTCAAAAGAGCTTGTTGAGGTTGAAAATTATTTTGATTTTATAGAAGTGGAAATTGAAGTACAGAAAACTTAAATGGTTTTCCCAAATTACACAGCTGGTAGTGGTCAGGCCCGGATGTGAGAGATAAAGTCCTGGGACATTCTTGTCATGATAAATCCTTCTAAGAGTAGGGTTTAGAAAGTTAAAGATTCAGCAACACTGTGTGTTTCATCTGGTTGTTCTAACTAATTTCCATCAATCAATATATGAGAAAGTTTCTTTGTTGGATGCTGGGATGGATGAAGAGTGACGGTGGGGTTATATAAAGAAGTGTGAGACTTTTTTTTTTGGAGAGGTTTTTCACTATAGGGTGCGTGCGCTCGCCAGACAGAAAGAGAGAGACAGAGAGACAGAAAGCAAGAAATCACCCCCCAGGGGGGATGGTCACGCTGCAATCCCTTCTCCTCCATTCTCCTCTCGGGATCTTGGGCACGCATGCACATGCGCCCGGTGTGAGTTTTAAGCCTCCGGGTCCGGGATGCGAACCACAGTCAACTACGTGGGAGTCCAGAGACATAGCCATTATGCTAACTGCTGGTTCCCTCTTGCTCTATTTCATATATGTTATGCTAAGGAATATTTTCTAACTCTGTTAAGAATATAATGAAAGCAATTGGGCAGAAAATGCACCTACGCAATTTTACACAGAAATTTGCATACAATTTTAGAGGGATCATGGACCCTCTGTATAATAGTTACCTACTGGTGCATATCAAATTACCTCAAAACTTGGTGGCATAAAAATATGTATGATTTCACATAGTTTTATGATTGAGGAATTTGGAGTAGCTTAGCATAGTGATTCTGGCTCAAGATTATCATTATATTATGCCACGGTTGCCAGATTTAGTAAATAAAAGTGTAAGATGCTCAGCTACATTTGAATGTCAAATAAAGAACAACTAACTTTTTTAGTGTAATTGTGACATACTTTTACTGAGAAAAGACTCAGTGTTTATCTGTAATTCAAATTTACTTTCGTAGTCCGTATTTTATCTCATAATCCTAGATTGCAGTAAGGTATTGGCTGGGGTTTCTGTCACCTGAAGACTTTAACGAGGGCTCCTGAATCCATTCTAAAGACAGCTCATTTACACACCCAGAAACTTAGTGCTGGTTATTTGTGGGAGAGGCCTTAAATATTTGCCACATGGACCTTTCCATAAATCAGATTGAGTGTCTTCATGACATGTCATGGCTTCCTCCACAGTGAGTGATTTAAGAGAATACAATTCACTTATGACTTGCTTTGGAAGTCACATTTCATCTTTTCTAAAATACTGTACTGATGGCTGGGTCAGTATCATTCATTGTGGGAGGCATTTGCACAGACCAGAAGAATCACTGGTGGCCATTTTGGGGATGGCTTCATCCTATAGAAGTTATGCATGGATTTCAAAGATCATAAACTCCATGAAGTCAAAGCTTTCATCTTTCATTTCATTTTAATTTTTAAAAAATTATGCTTTCTGGTTTATAAAAATCATTGTGAAGTACAGTTAGTTTTTCAAAGCATAGTACAGTATATAAATAATCAAATCAAGGATATAGGCATATTCATCTCCTTCAGTGTTGACTACTACATAATGTTGTACACTTGTGATAACAGTGCTACTGATTATATTTTTTATTTTGGAAGTATGTGTTTGTTGAATCGTAAGTGACATGTTTACTCTGCTGTGGTATGTGGTATTCTACTTATTTACATCATTATTTGTGTCCCATGATAATTTTTTCCTGAACTTTTACACACACACACACACACACACACATACACTTTTTGTACCCTCACAGCCCTAGTGGATATAACAATGCCTTATAAATTATAGGCATTCAATAAATATTTGTTAAATGAATAGACTCTCAGCCCATAATCTGTGATCCCAAAGATGTTTTTGAAGTTGGTTCATATTTGGGACCAGCAGTTAGTGTAATGGCTTTGTTGCTGGACTCCCATGTAGTTGACTGCAGTTCGCGTCCCAGACCCGGTGGCTTAAAACTCATGCCGGGTGCATGTGCGTGCGTGCCCAAGATCCCGAGAGGAGAATGGAGGAGAAGGGATTGCGGCATGGTCATCCCCCCTGGGGGGTAATTTCTCACTTTCTGTCTCTCTGTCTCTCTGTCTGTCTGGCAAGCGCACGCGCCCTGTAGCTAAAATCTCTCCAAAAAAAAAAAAAAAAAAGATGTTTTTGGTCTCTAGATTTTGTAGAAACAAAAGATGTTTCATCAAATAGTTTGGGATGAAGAGATTAGAATATAAGTAATAGAAATTTGCTAGGACATTCTGAAGGGATTCAATAATAATGTTGCTAATAAATGATCATGATGGTGGTGCTGATTATTGTGTCAGGTTCAGTGTTAGACAATCTTCATTTTATGTATGTAATTTCATGTCTGTCACCTTTACCTTCCATTGTGAAAAAGAGTAAAGAATTCTTCTTTTATTTATTTATTTATTTATTTATTTATTTATTTTTGGAGAGGTTTTTGCTATAGGGCGCATGTGCTCGCCAGAAAAACAGAGAGAGACAGAGAGACAGAAAGTGAGAAATCGTACCACCCCCCCCTCCCCCCCAGGAAGGATGGCCATGCCATAATCCCTTCTCCTCCATTCTCCTCTCAGGATTTTGGGCACGCACGCACACACGCCTGGTGTGAGTTTTAAGTCACTGTGTCCAGGACTTGAACCACAGTCGACTTCATGGGAGTCCAGTGACATAACCATTATGCCAACTGCTGGTCCCAAGAGTAAATTATTAACCTGATACTATGAAGAAGGGTAACACATACACATACATGTGCGTACACACACACATGGATGTGCACACACTCACACAAACAATATTGCTCTGGGATAAAAATGAAAAGGAAACCATGAAATTTAATAGAATGTCATAAAGGGTCTTTTGTAGAAAAGTACCTGGCACAGTCTTGACACACAAATTACAGCCTGGAGAGAACAGACGTGGTAAAGTTATAAGACTATATTTTAGAACGAGAAGAGTGTGTGTAGTAATTTAAAGCTGACATAGATAATGACAGTAAAGGGCTATGTGTGTAAAATAATGGTGACCCTCTTTTTAAGGCAGTGAAATCGCTTCAAATTCTGTCACCTTTTAATATCTGCTGGGATTTAAGCTTCTCAAGATAGAGGGCTAACCTATGTGTAGCCATGTGGTGTCACCACTCAAATCACAAGTTATCCTGGATTGAATTTGTAGGATTTAGTTTTTACTAATGGAAGCTACCAGAGAGATTATGGAGAGGAAGAAATATACCATCACTTTAAGATCCCTGTCCTCAGCATCCTCAAGATGCTGCAAGTTTGTAAGTTAATCGGATAAAAACAGGAGTCAGTGATATAAAAAGCCTAGCAGTTTATTTCTTGATGGTTTATGAAGGGATGCTTATCTCTTTACACCTTCGCAGGAGGGTCTGTAAGGCAGCTTCTGCTGCTCTCTGAACACTGATACAAGGGTCTTGCCGAAGTTCTTGGAGCCCTGAAATGAAAAGAAGAGCAAAAGTAAGTGAACAAAGAGAGTCACAGTCCAGCAAGAATGGCAGCCCGACCCAAGTCCTAACCTATGTGGCACTGCAAAGCTCACCACTGAGGGTTAGCCTCTTGTGGCAGTCAGATCCTAACACTCATATTTTTTTTTCCTACGAGGAAGGAGTTGGAGGTACAAGTTGAGAAACTATTTTAACATTGAAACAAGGGTAGAGAAAACCTTGATCTTAAAATGAGTGAGTTTAGAAAACTGGAAAAATCAGTCTGTAGGGTACAATGTCTGCAAAGGGATAGAGCTGGAGGTGGTTTATATTCTGGAGAAATTCCAGTGTCTAAAGAACAGCAGAGATGATAACTGGGTCCTCAGATATTTCAGTTTCTGGGCTTACATGGAATCTGGTGCAGCAATAGTTTCCTCTTTTCCTAATTAGCATTGGCACTTACGTGTGGTCAATTGTTCTTTGTCTAATAACTCCACATATTGGCTGGTCAAATTGAGAACAATGGCATCTAAAAGTCAATGGGAGAAAAAAGTGACTGATTTCATTATTTGGTAAAGGTGCCTCAGGTAGACTCTGTACTTGATCAAAAAATAAATGGTGTAATTAGAACTACACTATATAACTCTCTCTAGGATGATGTGAGGGTGACTTCTCTTGGGTTTTGAGTGCCAAGTCAGCAAATGGTCGCAAATCCAAAGTGTATTTGGGAACAGTTACACAATGGCCTTCTAGAGTGGCCAGCTGGTGTTAGGGTTTCAAACCTGTGTAAGATGTTGTCCTTGCCTTCAAAAAGTCAACACTATAGTTAGGGGGATTATATGTGTGATCTAATAAGGAATTCTTAAGTTTTAACTCAGTGTTAAGGGTGGTCAAGTGAGTGAGCCTGTTCACCGTAGGCTGGATTAGTTCCCACAGGCTTCAAGAAAAGAGTTAGAATTTCACAATAAAGGTTCTTCAGAGATTCACTTATTTTCCTCTCTTATTTATTGCTTATATGTTTTGCAGATCGGGCAGAGAGGTAATGCAAGGAAGTTAAGTAAATTGTTCAGAATCACAGAGTAGAACCAAGACCAGCTGGCCTGCACATCAACATACCTTCTACTTACACTATGTTGCTGTTAAAGTTCGCACCTTGCACGCTGAGTATGCTTTATAATAAGGGATGAGATGAAAGACAGTACTTCTGCAGGGGCAATGGGCTTGAAGCACAAAGACTTGGGAAAAATAAAGAGCCATGGTTTGGAATAAAAAGGAATGTGGAGGGCATAGCCTGATGGAAGAAGAGTGAGTGTGGATAAGCCACAAGAGGTTATCAGTTTTCATTTACAAAGAAAGTTTCTTTTGAAGAAGATGCTACAAGACATAAAATAAATTCCTTTCTGGCCTTTTTTTTTTTTTTTCTGTCACACCAGTCATATCCCAGCTTACACTAGGATAGCTTCTGGTCAAAGCAAACTAGTATAAGACGGCAGGCATTTATGAGTAGGGACTGTGGTTGTGAGCTCACCTGTGAGTTTGACAGCGGCACTTCTGATCATTTCCCAGCTGCTGGTGAAGAAGGTGAACGAATGCGTGTGGAGGATCCATAAAATTTCCTGGTTTTTCTTTGCCTAGATGAGATGTGTATTACAGAGCAGGAAATGAGAAAGGAACCCTTTCTGACATTCAGCGTTCCTATAGGTCCTTTGAAAGGAACTCTAAAGGCCAATGAATGCTTGTAGCCATAGGTTTATTGATTGAAAGTTATCTTAAGGCTATTTCTAGTAAGTTTGATCAGGAAGGCACATGGGCTTAAGGGACTAATGGACAGATAAAAGTTTTAAGCATCTAGGAGAACAGATACTATTCAGAAATTGGATACTGAGAAGAGGTGAATGAGGCAGGAAACCAAGAATCACTGCTATTTTCCCAAGATAGTTCTATCTCTGCCAGAGAGTCTTTGCTATTTTATTTACCCTTCTGTCTAGACTCTTGTCCTGCCTTTTTTCAGAAGGCAGCTTCTACTTCACACTTACCAGTTTTACACAGAATTGCCTATAGAAATCCCTGACCCGTGGAAGATCTTGGTCAAGGAGATGGTCTAATACCCCATAGAGCTCCTGAAGGCCCAGAAAAGGAATGCAGACCATCAAGACATCACGGCAAGCCTAGAAAACAGAGTTTACCATGTCTTAGCCCATAATGCTGGGATTCTCTTGCAGAAGGGAGGGAATATGGAATAGTATTGGGAAAGGAACAGCGAAAGACAGTGGCTTGAAAGGCTTCATAGCTCTTGCTGCAACTTTCCAGAATTACAAAGAGACAAACTTGGGACAATATGGCAAGAAAGGACCCAGAATTGGAAAAGCAATTGTCATGTTAAGTTCTGAAGGGTGACATCAGAACTTGCTTCTAGTCTACTTCTCAATCAATGGGAGAGAAGGAAGTGTAAGAGTCTGGGAAGGGCCACTTACAGCTCCTATTTTGGGATTGGGATCCCAGAGGTGGAGAAGGAATGAGATCATGCTTTTTTTAATTTCTTCAGCAAAAAAAATCTTCCACCTTCTCCCTGTTAGGGATGCCAGATTCTCAAATAAGAAGATGGCAGTCAGTCTCACATCATCCTGTTCCTGTGGTGACAAATGCATATTATGAAGGAGCATCTTCTCACAGGCCTTTTTCTGCCAACACCCCTTTATACTCCACCTCACTTCCCTTCAGTAAAGGAGCTGAAACTCAGGCACGGGTGCATTCTTGTTTCCTAGGTGTTCCAAGAACTCACTTCCTCTCCTAGAAGCTCTCTTTCCATCCCAAATGAGTTTAAAAAACCATTTGTCTGGGGCTTAGGGAATGCCATAGACTGGGAGACTTGATTTCTGTCTTTGAGTAACTAGTGGGGAGGTATGATCATAGGAATGATACACTGGCCTACTGGTAGCTGAAGGCCACAGAGGGTTTCTGGTTGCATCACTAATCCAGTTGTGGAGGCTTTGGTCTAAATGGCCCAAGGCCTAGGATTCTTTTCTAAGATGCCAAATGCTTTCTAAAGGGTAGGCAGCTTAAAAATTTGGGCTTGTGGTCCTAGGGGAGCTTGAATAAATAGTGCCTCACTTTGAATGTGTGAAGTCATAGAATTTCCTTGCTTACTGTTCACGATGGTAGGCAATAATTTTAAGGAACAAAGGGTAAGGCTATGGAGGAAGATGACCTCTTATTATCTCATATTCTCTGCTGATATGTTTTGGAGTTCCAACAAAGGAAGGAAATGAAGTTAGATACATTTTCTGGAAGGTTCCCCACCACTCTGCCAGGCGTAGAAAATTAGTTTAAAATATCCATATGAACACAGAAAGATAAAGATAAAAGTAGTCCAGAGTAACACAATATTATTTAGATACATGATAAACACAAAAAAGGAAGTTAATATAGATCTTTCAGAAAAATAAAGATGGCTTGCTAGAAAAAGCTGGAAAAGTTATGTGGCTACTTGCGATGTAGACTCTGTATAATGGAAATAAAAGTAAAAACATATTCTTTCAATGTACTATAAAAATAATGTATATATATATATGTATATATGTTTTTTTTGGAGAGGTTTTCACTATAGGGCACGTGCGCTCGCCAGACAGACAGAGAGAGACATAGAGACAGAAAGCAAGAAATCATCCCCCAGGGGAATGGTCACGCTGCAATCCCTTCTCCTCCATTCTACTCTTGGGATCTTGGGCACGCACGCACACACGGCCGGCATGAGTTTTAAGCCACCGGGTCCGGGACGCGAACCGCGGTTGACTATGTGGGAGTCCAGCGACATAGCCATTACGCTAACTGCTAGTTCCCAATAATGTATATATTTTTGAAAGATTTCTTTTTAGAAAAAGAAAGCAAACCAAAAACAAAGTGACAAAAAGTGGAGTGGTATTTACTTAAACAAACAAAAATTGGTATAAGTTGTAGGGATACTGGCATTAGTTTGCTGCTGTGTAAGACTGAGGTCACAGAAGGCCTATGTTACATTCTCAGGCCAACCTCAATAGGCTAAGTACAGGAGTAAGTACCTGTAATCCCTGCTAATTGGGAGACTGGGACGGAATTGCGAGAGGGAAAGATCCTAACAAAAAATATTCATTTTTATCTCTCTCCTTCTCTCTTATTAAAGAAAGTAAAAAAAAAAAATTAAAATAAACATTTGAATTTATCTACATCAGTGACTTAATAAAAGAGCCAGGAAAAAAGATCAACCAATCAAAATGATAAAAAGCAGAAAAAAAAATGAAGTGGCAAAAGTGTTATGGTTGCTGGGAGAGAGATTAGAGAACATTTAGCTCAATGTCATTGTTTCTAGTTGAGAAAATGGAGTCACAGAGAGGAAAGTGAAGGTTCAGGGTGATAGTGTGAGAAACAGTAGCAGGAAGGGACTGGAGCAAGGGGTGGTAGCCATACTTTGTTCTCCCAACTATTTCACTGAAGTTTTGAGAATTCCAAAGACGGATTTAAATACAGAGAGAGAAGAAAGAAAACTACAAGATTACAGAATTGTTTCCTTGCATAATCTATAGAAAAATAAAGGGGGAAGCACAGAGGAAAATAAATCAATACTTACAGAGAGATGGCATCATTGGAGAATAAGTAGAATGTCTTTACTAAGACCAGAGTTTTGATAAACTTTACCTTTAAGTAAATGTGATGAAATTGATACCTATTGGCCATAAGAAAGGTCTAACCTAACAATCAGTGAAACTGTGGACATTTTTTTCCTTTTACAATAACATTGAGAAACATGATCTTGACCACAAATCTGTTAGGTAGACTTGTGATACACTGGAGGCTCAGATCCAAGAGAACTATTATTATTGGATCAACAACAACCCAGAAACCTAACAGATGGAAATCTGTAGGGGTAACTTCAGCCCTTTGTTGTTAAAGATTAAAAAAAGAACATTTTTGTTATTTTTACAGAAGAAACTAAATTGGGTGGGATCCCAGGAAGCATTTTTGAGGATAAGAAGAGAATTCAAAGTAATATTGGTAAATTGAAAAAAAATAGTTGGAAAAAAGTAGGAAGCTATTTTTAAATGCCAAGTTTAGGCTAGTATATAAATAAGGAAAATGTTAAAATACAAACTAAAGAATTATTGACATGTGTTATAGACTAAAATCTAGAGGTCAGTATGGTTAATAAATTTCCAAAGAATCAGAATAAAAGACATATAAAAAAAATGGAGTAGGATTTCTGGTAGAATGTGATTAAGATGGCTGGATCCCATACGGCCCACCATGCAGTTCAAATCCTAGACCTGCTGGCTTGAAAAACATGCCAGGCATGTGTGTGTGTGTGCATGCCCAAAATCCTAAAAGAAGAGAGAAATGGGGGAGAAGGGATTTTGGCATGACCATGCTCCATCAGAAGTGCTTTCTTACTTTCTCTCTCTCTCTCTCTCTGTCTGTCTCTCTCTGGAGAGAGCATGTGGCCTCTGGCAAAATTTAAAAAAATGGAGCAAATAAATAAGGAAAAGATGGACCTGAGAGGTAAGTTTTCTTTATATTTGATACTTTTTGGGTCTCATTTTGAGATACAACTCAGTTACCAGCTTATAAAATATTTAATGAGTGGAAAAATTAGGTTTATTATAAATAATGAAGGAAATAAAGACTTTTCAGTCTGAAGAGTAGAAAGTAAATAGGTAATTTAATAAAGCCTTAATGTTGATGAAGGATGCATTAGAGGAGACAGCCAGCATTTTACATTTCCTCTGACAACAGAACATTAGGAAACAAGTTTAGATAATAACAGATACAAAAAGTAAGTTAGATGTGAAATAAAATTTTACATTGAAGGTAGTGAATAAATCAAATGAAACACTACAACAGAGTTTCCTGGAAAGTATAAAGGAAAATGACCCTCATCTGTTTAGGATCATCTTTAGATTTCTTTTCTTTTCTTTTCTTTTTTTTTTTTTTTTTTTAGTTAGGGCTAAGGACTAAATCAAGGGTTGACAGCCTTTTTCTGTAAAAGGCCAGGCACCTCACAAGGTAAAAGGAGTTCCCAGGGAAGAATAACTCATATAAGTAGTTTGAAATAATTTAGATTTTGTGGGCCGTTAGGTCTCTATTGCAGCTCATCCACTCTGCTGCTAGAGTGTGAAAGTACCCAAGAACAACATGTATCCAGTGAATGTTGCTGTGTTCAAATAAAACTTTATTTACAAAAATAAGCTGTGGAACAGATTTGGTCCATGAGTTTACTGATTCCTGGGCAAAATAAATCTTTGAGTTTTAGAAGTGAAAAAGATGGTGTTAGAGGCAACATCATGTTTCTTCAGGCTGCATTGAGTACTGTCATAATTTGTGTTCTCCCTCAAGCAAACCTGGAGGTGAGGATTTAGGTGCAAGTAGTTTATTTGGGAAGCATGCTGGGGAGTAGGAACGAGATAGGAAAGGGAGGAAGGCTAAGAAAGGGAGTATTAATGAGTGTGTTACCCTCATGGGCAAGTGGAGCTCAATCCTTCTAGGAGGAGCTAGAAAATTTATCTATAACCTGTTATTTCTCACCAGTTGAGGGTCTTTCCCAGGGCATTTCATTTCCCAACAATTCTGGCTCACCCCAGTTAGACTAATCATGATTCCCAGGCCAGAGAGAAGCCTTAGGCAGAGAGACACAGGAAGCCAACAGCCTGTATGGGAGTTGTCTGCAGGTGACCCGCAAGCAAACAAAGAATATGGGTAGGATACTGACGGTTTCTATAAACACTCTGAACCTTTTTGTCTGTTCACTCACTTCTTCTGGGAAGGGAAAATTCCTGAACAGGCTGACTTACGTCTTCAAAGAAGGTTCTTGTTTGCAGCACTATTTCTTTGAAGTAGAAGCTCACGTCTCGCTCTGTGAGTAGCTCCAAGATCTTTTTGAGAGCCTTCAAGCTTTCACAGACAACTTCTGTGCGAGCCAGGTGATACAGGCCTCTGATGATAGATTCCAACATGATCTGCTTATGCTTCTTCACCTATTTTGAAATAAGGTCTCTTAATCTCAAAATTTATTCTATGTGTATCTGGAATAAGGCAGAAATCTCCAAATAAGGAGGCTGAAATTCTACTAGAGTCACATGTACTTCACATTATACTTTGACCTAAGAGCACCTCTTTAGCAATTTATTTGGATTTTTCACCTCATTTCTATGCAACCCCTAGTTGTGGGTAGGTATACAATTATTTCAAACTACTTATATGAGTTATTCTTCCCTGGGAACTCCTTTTACCTTGTGAGGGGCTCCAGAAGCTGTGTTACCGAGCCCTCGGATGGCCATTTGCCTCAGAATGGCATTAGAGTCCCAGGCACTCTGATCCATTAAGGTCAGCACATCTCGCAGATTCCCGTGCTTCCAAAGGATTGGCTCCTTCATGAGCTGAAATCAACATACTCCTTCCCTTTAGCTAAGGGAGTGGCTTCCCTTTGAGCCAGTGCCAAAGGTATTATAACCATACAACTGAAGAGTGGGCCTTACTGCTCCTGGAGCAGAGAGGAGGCCCTCTAATGAATCTGTAAGACTTACAAAGCTTCACCCTAAATACAAGTAGCCCAGAGATCAAGGTTACATGGTGATCAGAATTAGAACACCTTAATTAGAGGAGGCTTCTAGTCTAACTGGCAAAATGGGATAGGTAAAGCAGGAATTATTGTTGATGCCCCTTCTATGTGGGAGTCCAGAGACATAGCCATTATGCCATCTGCTGGTCCCTCTTTTTCCTCTTTTACTTCCCACTTAGGTGCCTCATCTCTGGCAGTAGCTGTGCCCTCTGCTATTGAATCTCCTCCCAAAGGTCCTTCTTCCATGGTTAACAGCTGTCACTGCGAGAAATACCCCAAGGAGACCCAGCAAATGTGCTCTAATGGTTTTGCTCCCTTGCCTCAGAGAAGAAAGCTGTGCCAGTTATCCGGTAGTTCTCTGAGGAGGAAGTGAGAGACGAGAATAGGTACTCCATGATGTCCAGTATGATGCCATGTTGCCACACTGCCATGCTCCTAGGAAATGCAGAGTTTAGCAGAGACTTTCCCACACCAAACAACAGAGAAACAGCCCATTTGCTCACCAAGCAGACAATTGATCTAAAAAAGAAATACTTGATGAAAGAGCACCAAGACTTAAATTTTAAAATAACCTAACCAAGTGTCCAATTTAAATGTAGTTTGTCTAACCTATTAATTTGAATCATTTATCTGTATTTTCTTACTTTTTTAAAAAAGAATTACTTTATTTATTTTTAATTGACAGGGAGAGAGAGAGCGAGAGCGAGAGTGAGAGCGAGAGAGAAAGTGAGAAAGCAAGCCGCCAAGTTCTGGACCATGGTTGGTGAGTCCACACCCTCAAACCACTATGCCACCTGCTGGCACCTCTTATTCTTTTCTTTAATGACACGGTCTTTGTATGTTGCAATACTCCTGCCTCAGCTTCTTAAGTGACTAGGACTACAGGTGTCTGTCACTGGCTTTTAGGATGGACCAGAATCAAACTCAGGTCTCCCATGTGGTCCAGCCTGTAGAGCATAGCATTTTAGCAACATGTGCCACCTCAGTTGGGCTGCCTTTTTTTTTTTTTTTTTTTTTTTTAAGGTCTCTTTAATTTTGGGGTTG